AGAATTTCATGAACGAAGGTATCTTCGTTGTTAATTGTCGCGTCTTTCGAACTTAATAATAAGCTATAAAAGGAAGATATTCCATTCAAAGTCGCATCAATTATGATTGCATTACGATGAGTATAACACTTACAAGTTTCGTAGAATTATTTGAATCTGGAAAAACTTATTCTTCTCTTCATGATTGTTTAATTCAACAGCTTTGGAGAAATTAATGCCCCATGTATCTTGGATATTATCAAGTGGCATGAAAGAGTTTAGCATCTAAAGAAAAATTCTTGGTCACTCATACTGTTTAATACCCAATCTGAACATAGAGTAAATATTACCGAAGAATAATCGTGAACCACCTCGTATGCCACAGATGGTAGCCTCGGAAGTAATTTTTTTTGGCAGATTCGGTCCCAAATCGCTTGAGTGCAAGTAATATATGGCGGTTTAATCCGTTCAATTAACATAATGTTCGATAAACATCTGTAAAAATCAATGGATATAATGCATAAAAATTATGATTTGGATAACAATGTATTACTTACAAGATTTTCTGTAAGTCGTTTTGGAAGCATAGAATTGGATCTTTTTTGACTTGTGTAATTGTTAATCTTTGAAACTTTCTGAATTCTAGGGAGAGATTATATCCTTCAAAGACCCACTGAAAAGTACGTGTAAGTATAGTTTAGTTATGTCTTGTGAATGCAATGAGATACTCACATCATTTCTAGAAATATTTCTGAAATCGATATTATCAACAATATTCTCCCATGAATACCCAATTCGATATCGTTCTAAGCAGATTATTGTCAGTCAGTACATCGATGTGTTTGATTTTGATTGCATCCGAAAAATGACGATACCTTTCTTTAATGATTCAGCATTGAAATGTTCAGGACCTTCTTCACGATTAAAGTTAGAAGACGGATCGGATGATGCCGAACACGAACTATGATCCTCTTGATTTATTTTTGATTCTGCTGACATTAGTGTCGAATTACCATCCTCATGCGACTTCGTGAGACGAGGTTTTTTCGAAAGTGCTTGATCATTTGGAAGAAGGTCATCGACGCGATTTCGAATCGCTTTTCCTGTTCTTTTAGTTATTGTTTTGTCGATAGAGACCTGGCAAAATGTGGAAGAATCTTAGGCACGGACACAAAAAGCTTAGATAAAATACACAAGTCACAGCAAAGATGTTTGACAAACCTTTTCCTTCTCAACATAAGTAAGCCGAAAATAATCATTGATAGACTTCTTGTAATGGTCATTTTCATAGTTTTGTTTAAGTTCGACAAGCTTTGGATCGTCCTTACAACATGCAAGGCTCGCGTTGAGCGCAGAACACCAATTCGAGAGACCTGTTGTCTTTGAAGTGTATTCGAACTTTCGAAAAAACGCCACTGGTGTGGGTCTGTTATTGATAAAAAAGTCAAGTTCTTGCTTGTTTGAGGTTGTAATCGAGTCAAATGAGTTAGACATGAAGGCGTATAATGGAGACGAAGTTGCGGATTTAGATTGCCAGTAACGCGCCTGCTGTTTGATAAAATTATTGGGATCGCCAGGAAGAATTTTTGTGTTGTACGCCTATCAAACGCGTGACGTAATTTTTGGGACGCATGTTATTTACATATCAGATATGGATTGGTTAAAATATCTAAGCACGAAATATATTGTGATATGTCGGTATTTAAGTAACTTCTTAAATGGACATTTTTCGTGGTATTATCCTGCGAGATGTGGTCTGGTATAAATTTGGCAAAAACTACGGTTACTCTTTACCAGAAGGCCAGTTTGTAACCAGATTCTCTCACGGAAGACAGTATAACTACTGAGTGTTCAGAGGAACTACGGTTATCCCATACTCTGAGCTGTTGCTCATTTTGTGGCTCATGCTTGGTTGTCAAGAGTTATACTGTGAGCGCATATATAGAGCTACAAGTCTTCTTTTGATATCTTGTAGGTACTTAGCAGATCATAACTATACTGATTACTTATACTAATCGTATTTTGATTTTATACTTATCGAATATTTCAGAAGAAGGATGGCTTGACCCTATAACGTAAGCTACTGCAGGGCTGGTCAAAAACTACGGTTATTCCCATGGGGGGCACCTCTCGTAACTTGCGTATATAGAAGACAATGCACTTACTTATCATTCTGAAGAACTACGGTTATCCCATACTTCTTTCAAGATTTGTGGTTCATGATAAGTTGTCAAGAGTGTGCATTGTGCGCTCACCAACTTGGCCATTTTATATCAAGAACGCATTTGTTATAGAATAGAATAGAGATGAGTATATTATTTTATTGATGCACACATGGTCGAAGATAAAGTCCAATGTGGATGAAAGAATTTCTCAGACCTTAACCAAAGAAGAATAGCAAAATGTCTATTAATTTTTCAGATACATAGTGAATCAGAAAATGCTAGAAAAGATGATGCTATCAAAGAGGGAGGATCCTAGGGCATTTAATGCGAGTCCCAGCATCAAGTTATATCTTTATTGTAAATTTCTATACTAATTGTTTTTTTCCTATCACTATTGCTAACTACTAGATTTTTAGTACGATACTACACAAAGTATTAAGAATTCGGCATGTCATAAATTTTACTACGCTGATGATACACGTGGAATTGATTAGATAAGATAATATCTCATCACTGGAATTTATTTTTGTAATACCGCGTCTATTGTGCGCATGATGATTGATAAAGATTTTCTCGGCGAATATCAAAATGCAAATAATGGTAGGTTTGAAATTTTATTTTGATTTTTGCTTGGTTTTTGCTTATATTTGCACAAGGCGGATAAAAGATTTACTAACTGGGGGTGTCACCTTTTTATATAATTTGCAGGATCGATTTTGTTATACGCTTTTGGGGGAAATTATGTTAATATGATCGCATCACGAAAATCTGATCAACAGCCTCTCCTTAATTTCCTTAATTTAACAATAAAAGAATTTAATGCTATCCATATGTAAAGATCATCAAGGGGTCCTTTTACAATAATATACGTAATAATTTTGAGAATATGCGAGAATGTTTGAGAATAAAAGTCCCTGAATCTTTGCTGGCAATCTTATTGCCCAATAATTTTGTATTAACATGCATATACGCTCGAACAATAAAATTTAGTATGTATGGTCTAAAAGATTGTTGCCAATCGCCACGAGAAAAATAATTGTACTCTAAACGTTTTTTATATGCAATACATTGAGCTAAAATAAATTACATGGTGCGGGACTAGCCCTGGGTATATGATGCCATTCTATGACTATTATACACGATTATTTTTTTCGAACGATATTTCTCTATTCTAGCTTTTTTTCTTTGAGGCAAAGTTTGAGACGTACAATTGATGCTATGTTATATGATAATCGTGAAGACTCTTCACACTTCCAACCAATAGAAACGAGATCTACCGACTAATCATATGATAAACGTTAATTTCAATGACGCAGTACCGGGTATAGTTACTGCGCATGATATATGCAAAGTGCCTTTCGGCTAAGCCACCCACGTGATTCGAAATAAAAAGAAATAGATAATTCAGCAATTCAGTCTATGTGAATATCCTAGGCAGTTACTGGAGAGATAATAGGACTCATCATTGGTGAGCTTTTTCTTTCATATCTTCTGTCATGATAATAATAACCTCTATCATATTCACCATATTTATTATATCAACTGTAACCATTATATCAATTATCATCTGAATCGTCTAGCATCTCTTCTTCAGAATCATTATTGTGACTACAGTCACTATCATTATCTATCTTAACTTCATTCGTTTCTTTCTCCATTGACGAAGGCATGAGATCATCAAAATACACATCATCATAATTGACATTATTCTCTGCCTCAGATGGAATGATTTGAAGTGTAAGAGCTATGTGTAACAGGAATAGGTGCGATTAATTCGCTTACTTTAGCTGAATTTTGGCCAGGCTTCCAGCTGAAATCTCAGTCATGTGACTTGATACTTCTTTCACATCAGTGTTATTGTTATCATTATACTTGAAGAAATTATTTGAACTTTATCATTAGTCAACTCAGAAATAGAGTTCGTACTATATGTCATAATATACTTAATATTATCTATGCCTACCTTTTCAAATAATTTATATATCTTTATAGCTTTCTGAATTTTCTTTTGTAAGTTTTTATGGAAGATTTCTAAAAGATACAATCTTGTTTCTTCAGATTGTTGCTTTCGCAACATGAATAGATGTTTCAACATTTTATCATAGATTATCCCTTTTACTTTTTTTCGCCTATTTTGCCTTTTCCATCTTATACAATCACACTAATTTGAGTTAAAAATTCTTTTTCATAATAATACCAGCGCAAAATCTCTTCCTGATTAGTATGAATTACGTCATATTTAACATCATCTGCTTTATCAAATAATTGTGCTAGAGAAAGTAATGAATCTATAGATAAATTTTAGTTGAGACTCTCAATTGAAATCACATCGCAAGGAGTGACTTTATCACTTGATTTGGCATCTTCTTTAATATCATTAGCTATCAATTATACGATATTTTCTACACTTTTTTTCTTATGATTATTTTAGTAAAGACCCCTGGCTGAAATTTCAGTTACTGAATTTGATACCTCTAGTATGATCTCTTTAGAATCAGAAGCATGATTTTCTACAATTAATCTGATATCAGATTCTTGTTCTTGGTTTGAGAATGCTTTGCTAAGTTTCTTTTTTCGATTTCTCTACCTAATTTTATTACTAATCTTTTTCTTATATATCTCATTCAAGAAAGCATCTGTTTTCTTATCTTCAGGTAATAAAGTATCTATCAATAGTTTCTTATGATGTATTACCATTGATATCTGATCTGCAATTGAATTGAAGTTAGATGAACAGATGTTAGAAAAATTATCATTTAGTATCTGCTTCTGTTCCACTTTTATGAGTCTATTTCTAATTTTAATATTTTTAGATTTCAGCTTCTCGATTCTGACCTTAAGTTTGATATTTTCAGCATCATGTCTCTTATTATATTTCTCATTCATTCTTAGAGACTCGTTATTCATGCACTTAAGTTCAGCTATTTCATCAGACACTGAGAGCTTTCTTTTAAGATCAACTCTCTTAACATCGAACTTTACGATCTTTTTTCTAAGATCAGGTATTTCAGCATTCTCAGTCTCAAGTTCAATGATACGCTGTTTCAATACTTCAAGCTCAGATAATATGATCTATATATAACTAATACAATGTATATAAGCATTCAAAATAAAAAAATCACGTAATTTTGGGTAAACTTAATTCGCTAAAATTTGCTAAGAAATTTTTATTAATTCATGTGAAAAATAAATACAAAGATTGGGACGTAACCCGTGATATATGATGAATTTTCTATGCTAATAACTACGAACATATATCATCTATTTTTTCTTGATCGTCTCCATCTTTTTTAATCAAAATCTCAACATGCTTATTAAGTGAATTGACTGCGGTAGTAAGTGAAGTAATTGCATTAACAAGAGAATTATTAACACTCTCAGAGGTTTCTGATAGTTTTGTGATACTGGCTAGCATACATTGGTATTCTGCTGATTGTAATCATTATTGTTCCAACTCCATGCAATCTTTAAGCAGGTAGTTTGGTCCAGAATAATTTTGAGCATTTAACTTTGATAATATCTCTTTGTTCGTTATCATTCTCTTCACCCTTTTCCAAGTTTCACTAGTAAAAAGCAAATAAATGTGTGTGTGATATGCTTGCGTATACTTATTCTAGAATTGATCAGTCTCTCACTGGCCATAATTAACCACTATAGTATGAAAATTTAAGCGTTCCTATTGTTCTAACAGATCCTTCCAGAACTCATTTTATTGTACTAGCATCTATTATTAAAATGATTGTAATTCTCCTTATCATTATTAAGATGGGGTAGTAATAATAATTTCCTAATAGGTTCTCATCGCAAAAGCACAATATAATTATCTATATCAAGCTTCTGAACGATAAGCTTTATGGGAAAATAGTAATCGCAAGTTAAATCTTGACTATCACGAATTATTATTTTACCATCATATATAAACTCAGGATGGTCATACTCTACAAAAAGATTAATAGATTAACAAGTATTATGTGATAAAAGTTAGAATGATAAAACCCAAAACAACTAGAACAGAAGGATATTCTCCAAGATAATTGCAAAAATTAAAAATCTACACACTTACTGCACTCTTTATTTTTGTTTTTCTTTTGTTTACGTAGTATATGAGAATTAGAATATAGAATATACACCTTATCCTTTTTAGTCTCTTCATAATCTATTACGAAAGGTTCATCTTCTTCAGGTGAAATACTCAACTGTATGGCTATAACATATTCTCTCACAATTTTAACAACTTCAGTGAGACTAGGTTTAATATGAAGAAAGACATTATACCACAATATGAGGTTAAGACATATCCTAAAATTTGCAAGATCTTGTAAAAACTTGACTTCTAAGCAAAATGCCTGCATCAATTTTGGTTATGCTTTAACTATATTTAAAAGGAATATGAATGCTTCTGTAAGCTTCTCTGGTATAAGGAACATGATCAGCGTAAAATAAGGTATATTAGAAGTATCTGATCCTACTAAATTTGTATTTATTAAAGCAATGTTTTATTATGAAAGAAAAGAATTCAATAAATCTTGTTAAAAAATATAACTCCTATTTATATTGAATGATATTTAACAGTAAAAATTTGTCACATATTCACGTAATTTTCACGTATCATTGCAGATTGCAAGAAAAATTTTTATTTACAATGTAAAAATAAATACAAAGTTCAGGACTATACCCGCAATACATATTATTTTTTGATAATTTTTTTGATTCTAGCCTTCTTGCTAGCTAGGGAACTATTTACACTAATCTGATTCTTCAATAACCGATCACGTTCCCAAAGAGCACACAAAGTTTCACCAGCATAACGCATATTCTTCATTGTAAGCTTCAAATCAACTAATTTACCTTGAGAATCGAGGTAAGATTTATATTTATCGATTGGTAATGTTATGCCAGCTAGTTTTTGAAAAAGCATTGCTATGCTACACTCAATAGGATTATACGCTGATTGACCAGATGCGTGCGTTTGAATGGAAAGATAATTAAGGTTAAAGGCACAAAACATTCTATAATACTGATAGATATTTTTCATATGGCGGGGGTTTTTATCTGGGCCTCTGTCGACTAAAAGAATCCAAATTGGTTTAATCTGGCTATCGACTTTTAGTATTTTGTCAAAACGACTATTTTGTGTCAGAGAATTTAAGTTATTCATATGAGAGGTTGATAGGGATGGGAACAGTTTGAAAAGAGTGACTCTGAGTCATTTCTGGAACTGATTTTAAATTCAGCATATTCTGGGTTTCCCTGAGTTACAAACCATTTTTAACCAATTTTAAAAATCGAACCAGAACTGACTTCAGACCGGTTTTAAGAGTCAGCTCAAAATCAGATTGTCATCAAATTAAAGGTAATAATAGGACGAATTTGTTTGATAACCAGTCAAAAAATTTTTTTAAATTGATCATCAAATGATGCTCTATTAGTATAAATTTAACTTAACGCTCAAAGTTTAATTTACTTAAGAAGAGTCGAAGTAGAATCGAAGAGGTACTGAAATGGAACCGATAGAACCGTCCCCATTCCTGGAGGTTGAGCTTATACCAATTTGATATTGCAGGCATATGAAAATTGAAAGTTGGCTATTATGAAAAGTATCATTTGTGTCATTTGATTTAATGAGTAAATAGACTGATGGATAAGCTTTTGCTGCATTCCAATCAGAAAATCATGATCGGGTAGTGTAACTGGTTCTCAATAATTCTGTATAGTTTAGAAAGTTCTCCTGACTGCAAGGATACTAAGAGGAACTTAGGCTTTATCATTCTGAAAAATGATGATAGAATGGGTTAGAAATAAGGTCACAAATTGTTTTGCTCCTTTTACAGAAGCAAGACAATAGTGTTTATCATGATATTCTTTTTTTCATCCCTAAAAACAGAAGCAATTGCAATGTTAGCTGATGGTGGTGAGCCTTTGCTGCTATAGAATTTGATCAAGATGGCAGCAGGTAATTGCTAAGGGTAGTATGAGAAAGATACTCATTATATTTTGAGTTGAGTTTTTCCTGAAGGTGACGGATAATTCTAACTTTAATAACTTCTTTCCTTCTTTTTTTATCCACAGCTCTGAATTCGATACATTCATGTATATGCTCATGTAAATCAGGATATTGAATCAAAAGAGATGGATGACCAGGTGATTCGTATTGTATTACTTCTTGATGTTCTTGTAGAAGCCTTGCTTTTTTTCTCTGCTTTTACGTTGATAACTTGTTTAACATTTCAGTTTCTTAATCTTATTATCCTCCTTACACAAAATTTCCTTAAGATTTGTTATACGCTCCATTAAGTTACACCCAATTTCCAAATCACTAGTAAAATTGTAAACTTGTTAAAGTTCTACAAGTTTTGTATTGGTTATATTGATAGTTTTTGCAGTTTTTTTTTACGCAGTAGCATTAGAAGGCGGATTAATATCAACTATGACAATCTCTTCTATTAGTTTTTAAAAAGTTTGGGATTTGGCAGACTTTAAGCTTTAAGATGACTCAGATCGTGAATGATTGGTTTGCAAAAAACTTTAGATTGGAATCAGAGTTGCTAGATATTCTTAGATTTTACTTTCAATTTCTTCCTGAGGTTTATGCTGAATTTCTTTCTATGCATTAATATATTCTACACATAGACTAACTTTTGGATACACAGGATTTTTTGCATTCACCATACGATAATATCCAAAAATATTGCAGAATCTCTGGTATTGATTTGTGAGGGTTTTATAAATATAGAACTTGTTATATTTCAGTGTAGTAGAAAAGCCTGCATGTTGAAGAGATTTTAGATAAAGAAATCAAGGTGATAATCAAAAACGTGATCAGAACATTATATATAGACACGACTGATGAACAGCTATTACAAGTTATGTTAAAGAGTCACGTGCATATAGGTATAAAAGAACAATACAATTTTTTAAATTAATCAAATTTATTATTTTATTAAATCATTCTAGGATAAATGCTAATTACATGGATGATGATGAACTACTCAATAATAACAATTAAGAAGAAAAACTAAGAATATAAGATAAACAATATATCTATCTTATTAAATAATACTAAAATTTTCAGATATAGAATTTTTAGCTGAGTAAATGAACACTATTGAAAAAATGAATTAATCAGCATCACAAAGGCAATTTGATTTTCAAACATTAGCAATTTTTAAGTTCTCTATAATAATTAAACTATTTCAGTGTTCTTAAGAAAATACAATAGATTATAATGCAATAATAAATATGATTCACTTAAGATACATTATAAAATAAGCAGCTATCTAATGCACAGTAATTTGATGGTAATCAATAATTGTGTAATGCTTGATGATGATTGGTTAAAGTGTTTATTATGTGATACTATAATCTTACTAGGAGGGGAGGGAGGCGGTCCTATAGTAACCTATAATTACGTCATATATAAAAATCCCCTTACCTACCAGGAGTAAACTGATTGATGTTTAATATATCTTTCCCATTGATCTTATTTCTACGTAACATTTCCTTCAAGTCATCGAGAGATTTAAGCGAAGAGTAATTTTGTAATTTCTGGCTGAGACTTTCAATGAATTTCATAAGTCTTGTTACTGAATCTAATGCAAAACCAATACTACAGAATTTTTCTTCTGTTAATTCAAAAAAGTCATAGCTAGCAATTTTCTCTTTACAAAGTATTTTAATATCATCTTTATCGAGTTTTAAGTTTTTCCTCCCTAAATAATCAATAAGTTTCTCTGTATTAAAATCCTTAATCATGTCCAACATTGTTCTAGTGAAAATTTCTTCCATTATTAAGCTTAGAGAAGAAGGTGTAGAGGCTTGTGAAGACATGGATTTTATATACGTAAGTTTGTGCTTGCGAAAAAATATGCACTTGACTGCAGTTATAGGTAAAGCTGGTTTATGGATATAAAAGTATTTTAGTTTCTAAAGTAAAGCGTTCAGGTAGAAATGATATATAGATTTTTTATATTGATTTATAATGCATTTGCCCAATATATATGCAATTAAGATATAGTATAAAATTATCAGACGATTATATTACATCATTACACATGACATTTTTCAAGATTTATGACAAGAACATAATATATGCTTTATTTAAAAAATAAAAAAACCTTGCCAGAAGCCAATCTACATTATATAAAAATTGCGAATATATCGCTACATGATACAGAAAATTATTTGGGATAAATAGTGAAATGAAAGTGCTTTGCTTTAGGTTCCTCAGTAAAAATATCAATAAAATCCTCATGTGTGTCTATTTCCATTTTAATAATGCTTTCAGCTCTAATTATACAAATTTTAAGAGGGATTTTATTAAATAGTGCCCCAATTTACTTTGAATTGCAGTCTCAAGATCACTATAATGACCATCTCTGTGAATTGTAATCGATTGCATTACTTTAATGCATGGAATATTCATAAGTTTGCCTATAGAAATGATAAGATAATTGATAGTAATATTGTTATTATCCATTTTGACTTCTAAATGCAAGAATCCATAGTGAGAAAATTGCTGGACCCACTCGCATTAAAGAACATATACTGTATATACCTTATTTTGCATTATTTTCTCTAGAAAATATTTTTGCGAAAAGTTAGCTGAACTTTCACATACCTCTACATACTTTATATCTTGCTGGAAAAAAGTTAAAGAGGTATGAGACATTATTAACATTATCGTCTGATGCTAAGAACTCTATAAAAGCACATACAAATGGAATCTTATACCTTTTTCATATAGAGATCTACCGGAGAGATACATACTTAGTCTTACACCTGGCAATCTCAAAATTGTGAGTCCCTCAGCCTTTCATAACATATGCTTTTAATGTTAATATTTACTTTTAGAGTAGGTCTTATGTTGCATGTAGACTTTCACATTTTCTCATGTTTGTTCAGGAAAAAAATAGACTAAAGGTTAGCATACATAATTTATTTTCGATTATATTTGAAATTAATATGTTACACAAACTGACTGTATGATTAGCCTATTTTCTGTCACACAGGAGTACATGCATTGTAACTCAGAAAAAAATCTTCTGAGCTGATGATCACTGCTCCAGATTACTTTCACTTGGATTTAAAGATAGCACTGCAACTGGTTGTAACCGATGACAAATAAGCATCATATGGTTGCAACTAGTTGCAATATTAATAAAATTGAGTTACAACTAGTTGCAATTGGTGACAAATAAGCATTACATAGTTGCAACTAGTTGCAGCGTTATCTTTACTTGGGTTGGTATGCCTCTCAATAAGTATCGCATTCTATTCAGATTAGCAATGCCGGACTGACTAATATAATCTTTAATCCCAGTTATAATACCAGTCACTGATTCTTTTTTTCGCC